TCCGAGCTGCGCCGTCCTGAGGCTCCGCAACGTCCACAGGCGGTAGGCCGTGGTGTCAAAACCCGCGATCAGGGAGTCCTTCGCGGCGGCCCACTCCATCTTCTCCGGGCCTCTTCGCGCCGCATCCAACACCGCCCGCGCCGGGCCTTTGAGAAGCACTCGGAGGGCCGTAACCTTACCCCGGTCGGACCATATTCCCGTCAGTTCCGCAACGTCCTCAAATTCCCCCAGGAACGTCTGCACGTCCCCCTCCTCGAAGGCATCAGGCCACGGCACCTTCATCCTGATCCTGGCGACGGCACCAGCTATTATAATTCCACAAGGCGGTGCAGGTCCTTGAGTTACATTGTACACACCGTCGACCGACGGTCGTAGTGCTGGTTGACTTAAAAAGAGTCTTCGACTTAGTTCATCGCGAAGCTCTAATGGTGTTTATTCTTCTTAAAGGGATGCCTCTAAATTATGTAAACTTACTAAGGTTACTGCATACTTTTGGTAGCGTAAGGATCTACAGCAAGCTGAGCAAATCATTTGAAACCAGCAGCGGTATTCTTCAACGGTGCCTTTTTAGCCGTTTCTCTTAAATTTCATCGCAGATAAAATACTGTAATGTGCGCCAAGTGGTCACCAAAATGTTGACATTGAATGGGCAACGTGAGAAAGGTTTTACGATTTAGAGTTCTCTGCAACATCGTTTGCCTAAGCGTACTTAACAGACCAGTGAGTTCTGTTGCCCCGATCGTTGTGCGCTTTCCCCCTTAAGTTGTAAAATTATCCTATAAGACTGTAATTTGACTAGTTCGGTTCTGAGACTAGATGGACGGGAATCTTGTACAGTTGACTGCCTGTAGTACTTGGGTAGTTGCTTGACCGGCGTTAGAGCAGTAATGGAGATAATCGCACGTAATTTCAAGACAAGACCGAAGTACCTGTGGCGATAACGTGGCGTTTCAGTAAAGTTGAAAAATCGCGCATACTGCCCTAGTGTACGAGTGGTTTTGGTTTATGGTTGTGAGATCTTACATTTGCCGATAGAAGTGTTCATTAAATGGAGGTTTTAGACGATGAATGTTAACGTAGTCTTGCCCAGGTGGAATGGAGTGAGCGGGTTAGTAACTGAGATGTTAGTATCCGAGTGTTTGAGTTCCATTAAAGGAGAGCATGCTATCTCATCGAATTCGGCATTGTAAGCCTCACTGTTTATTACACTTTTGCGTCTGTTTAACGGTCTTTTTTCGCACCGCTCCTTGTTCACGGTGGCCGCTCCTGGATGGAGAAAACCATGTACAGGTCAACGGTTGACGTTGAGACGAGGCATACATAAATGCAGATCAATTAGGTAGATCAGATTTTTCCTGTGTTCAAGGCTGAGGTCCAAAATATTCCGTAAATGGTTACTTGGAAACACTGAAGCACATAACATTAAACCCGCAGCAGTGGCGTTCTTGTTATCACTTTATATTTTAACAAAATGCTTGAAAAAATGTTTGTACTAGAATGTTGTTAATGTTGGCCAAACACATCGTCCCGGACTATCCAATGTTTTGCTATCACATCTATAATTCATAAACAATTAGATACATTCAGCCAACTCTTAACTGAGGATATCCGAACACAATTGAAATTGTTTGCGTTTTACTCCATGAACACCAACCTCATCCTCGTTTGTTCATATGTATGATTCCGACCCATCTCTCGTCGTTTTTTTGGTTGCACAGATTGATTTCCATAGAAATTTTCATTTATAATGTTTAACAACTGCTTATCTAGTTTTGTAAATGACAATGCTGCGAAGCTTCAGTATTCAAAAGCGAGTTACCTCAATTCCTTATCGGTTTCACTTGAATTGTGTTGATATAATGATGCTTGATTTCACAATTAAAGTTAAATTTATACTTTTTCACACGGACCGTAATTTTTCACTTGCCCATCAATGAAACCAGACTGAGCAATTTGATGTTTTCACCCTTGATCAATAAGTGTGCTGTCGCTCCACCTATTCAATAATAATAATAACATTCGAAAATCGAAAAGTCACGTGGTTCATGTGTTCGAATTCAATAACAACTAACATCCTACATTCCCTCTTCTTTTTATTCCTCTTGAGCGTTCATGGGTTGTGCAACTGAGTATTCCATGAGAGGAAATAAAAGGGAATAATTTCATACTTAAATGAGTTTTGGCCTTTTTCCGTCCATAGGACACATTTGAGTAAATGAACGCAGTGGAAATCATAATACCTAGATCGCATAGTTGATAAATCAAATACTATATTTCAGGTAGAATACGTTTAAATTTCAATTTTTAGTGATTAAACAATGAAATTACCTAAAAAAACAATAAAAGAATGTACACTAACGGCTATTAGGTCGAGTACTGCCTAACTGGTGAGCGCTGTAGAATCTGCTGGCGTTTCAGGCCAACATTTGGTTACGCCAGACTTACAAAAAACAAATCCGATAGATCTAAGATTTCTGTCAAATACAGTACTATCACTTTTCATTGAATTTAAAAAACATTCATTACTTACACAATTAACGTTCAAGCTGCTGCGTAAGAGAAAAACATGTCTCTTCGGGACACGACAATGACACGAGTGACAAAGGAACGCATACACGCCAAATTCAGCTTCCATTTATGAGTGTATCTTTGTGTATGTCTCAGAGAGAACTTCAGTATAAATCCTTTGCTATTGAGTATCCTGTTGGATAATAAATTGGTCGCAAATGAAACCACAGGACACTATTGGATTATTAACCTGATTGATGTTTTCACGAAGTAGAAGTTACCCGGCAAATGTCAACAGCTGTAAATCCTTTCAAAGTGTTCCATATCACTTGTATCTTACTCCCTCAAATTCAATTGCACCTTTATTCACACAGACTAGATAGAATAACCAAGATATTTTCTTGGTACACATACGCTCCGTAAAGACATTATGTACACTGTTAACGTGAATTCTGGTACCGGGGGTGACGAGCAACCTGAAACAAAAATCAAACCTTGTGCCAAGGCACGGTTTAAGCCGCTTGGCCATTCTCACCCTAAGCGACAAGTCATTAAAATTCAACCCCGAAACTAGTGTAGGTCAGTACATTTTGCGAGTACTGTTTGTTGTGGTAGTTATTTGTCACGTGACCTATCTCTCACAACACAAGCGACACTAAGATTAGCTACCTGGAGGCAAGATTTTTTCACATCGTTTTTCTTCTTGTTCGTTTGAAAGGCGTTCCAACGAGTCACAGTTGAACAAACTGATCAAACAAATTGAGGACCGTGTCGACTCACTAACGAGAGCAGTGAATGATGCAATAGTTCAAGCTAATCGCGTGCCTACTCCGGTGACAGTGGTAAGCAACAATCTCTGTTATGCATCATATATGTGCCCGTTTTGCGTGAACGCATGCTAACCATTGATTACACCATTACTTATCATGGGGGACAAATGTAGATCCTTCAGCTCCTTGTTCTATTACGTAAAATGATTTGAATGGATTTGGTTGCCTGGGGCGATTGTTCTGGGCTTGATTTCATTGTCGCCCGTTGAATCAAGTAATTTACTTTTGGTCCACAATGCAATTCAGCTGACCATTTGTCAAAAGTACGGTGTAACGAAAATCGGGTCCAGTTTACATCTATGGCCGAGTAACTAAAAACGAACGTTGCTCAAGTTTTGATGAACCCTGATGATAAGCTCTCCTGCTAACCGTCTTCCTAATCGTATTGTCTTGAATGGATAGGGAAGTGAAAAGTCGGCATTTTTCAGTGTGTTCAACAAATGCTCTGAATATCTCTGACTTACAGAAATCTACAAAAAATATTTTGTTTACGTATCGGTAGTTTCAACTCGCTTACCACTACACGCAAAACGCACGAAAGCCCACAGATCCAAGAGTTTTCATCACTTTTTCCCGATAGGGAAGTGAATCGAGTTATAGTTTAAGACGTGGTGCTGTATTAGAATGTTTGTTTCTCGCAACAGAAATCACGCCACATTGGTTAAAGATTTTGATTGCGATTTACAGATTTTTCGATGCATTTCTTAAAACGGCAAATTTCTCACCTGTCGTCAACAATCCACTGAATTTTGTTTTTACCCCTTGCGCAGGCCGAACCGATTTCTTCAGATGTTCCCATGAATGCGATTAAGAATCTGTATCGAAAAATGGAACAAATCGCTGCCAGTTCACGGCGTCAATATGCCGATTTGAGTCGAGAAGTGTGTGACGCCCGGTAGCGCCAATTGGAAGAAATGGCGATTTGATGTATACTATTTTCACATGTAGATTTGAAATAATGTTATCAGTAAAAAGGTTTCATTTGAATTTTCTTTGATTTTGTAAACTGCTTTGGTCATTGTCATAGTGGTGCTCAGTTACGAACTTAAACATGTGCGTTTTGCACATACACGTAATTTTGTGATGCTAAGAATATGCGGGTTAAATTGCATTAGGAAACTTTCGGACGCAATAAGAATCGAGGTGCCATCTTGGCTCAGATCTTAAAACCACCTTGTTTATTAAACTTAGTTTTTCTTTTATCCCTGATTTAATACCACCATTCAATTATTGTTATTAAAATAAAGCTATAAAGTTCTTCAAGAGAAGGACTGGTTTTTTATGTTCTCACTTCAACGTTGTAGATGTAATTTTATCAATGAAATTTGTCAGTAAGGATGCAAGCTGGAAGGGAAAGGGTTCAGACCAGTACTATGAACTGGTCTTAGTCATCCAAAGACAAGCATACAGGATACCTATTAGAGACATGAATGCGTCCATAGAATCCAATTTCTTCTCCTATTTACAATGCATGTCAATATATTCCATTTCTTTCATCCGACTCTAGTAGATCTCAGTTGTAAATTTGAGCAGCTGTGCAAATATCGATTCTTTTTTCGAACTGATAGTTTCTCTTTTGAGATACAATATGACTGGATAAATGTTCGTGTATGTGACTACCAATGGACAGGAAAACATGATGGGATATTTCACAGGAATTTGAATCAATTATCAATCGTTGTTCGCATATAAAAGCTTGACTGAATCCCGGATAAACTGCTGATTGCCATAAAATTCTGTTTCTGTTACCTTATTAACTCTTTGTATTTTCGATTCTGACGGAATGAATAAAGTGGTCTCATTGAACGCTTCTATCGATACAGGTGCTCAATGCACGGGACAATGTGAATCAGTTAAAGGAGGCCTTGCATAAAATGGTCGATTTTCGAGTTTCAGAGCTGTAAGTTTTGATTTATAAACACCAGTCTTTGGGCTTCTCATTTGGTCAGCAATTCGGCACAATTAATGGCTTTTCGAGTCGCGGCTCACTATTTGACTTCTTTTTGTACTTTTTGATTTAGAAAAGACCAGTTCATGCTACTTCATAATGAGATAATCCAACTACAAGTTCAACCCACAAAAGGCGATTCGGCAGCAGATGGAAAGCCCGTACAGGTAATACGTTACAAAATTGATGGTATTACGTTTTACATACATAGCATTGACATTCAATTAAATTTTAGGAATTTTTCCTAACTCGCAAATATTCTTATTTATTTGAACTGACCTTCCTTCAGACTTCATCTTCACGCACCGTCATCATTTCTTATGGTCAACAATACACTCGGAAAAATGCAAGATTGTGCGTGAAGGTGAAGTCTAAAGGATGCTTGGTTGAAATCTATACGATTTATCCCATACCACCACTTTTAAACAACTGTGAGTCAAATGTGGATATTTTTTGTTTGGTTTTGACTGGTTGTCTGAAGTTAAGTGATTCGCATCGCTTATTCCCTGATATGCCCAAGATGCGTTATTGGATTTGATTGTGCTCAATGTTGGAGAAAACTGGTGTCTTGGAGTTTCCTTACCATCCGAGACTGTTATTCCAGTAGCACCCAATACGAACTTATTTTCTATATAGGTTTGAATTTATGTATACTTCATAGAGAGAGAGAAGAAAGAAGTTTCTATTCTAACGTTTTAATCTAAACTGAAAGTTGTTATTAAAGTATTGTGTCTCACTGTGGTTGTTGAGCTTTCTTCGGTTTTCTATTACTCCAGTCTTTCTCCTTGTGCCAGTAGTCGTTGCATAGTGTTTGTCAATTGCCGAATGGCGTTGTAACAAACTGGTCGAACGATGTTTCTCCTTCATCTTTTTCCACATCTTTACCATTGTGTGGTTGATTTTGATCTGACAATCTATCGTTGAGCAATGAGTGATTCCAAATATGCGAATTCGGTTTAATACCTCGAAAAGCAAGCGAGTATTCATGTGTGTGAGCGCTCACTTATTTACCTACTTCACCCACGAACGGCGATAATAGCCTAGACTCAGATTCGGCCCGGAGAATCAAAGTTTATACACAGCTTTTCACTTGGCTCACGGAATGACTACTGTTATAGTTCAACAACTGATGGGTAAAATGGATCACTTACAGAGGCGTATGGAATCCACCATATTAGCATGTTAACCGACTGTCAAGGACGGTTTTCCCATAAAATTCACGGGAAACCACCGTACAAACTTCTAATTCTCAGTTATTTTTTCAAATTCTTTTATTCATAAGGCAACAGAAGACAGCAGTCTTGTGTTTGAATCATCAATGGGTCACAAAGGTTATTTTCTATTGTTTCTAGCCAACTAATCAATCGATGGAGTTACGCAAATTAGCAGAGAGTCTTTTTACCATCAAACTGGCTTTGCTCATGAAAATTCGCCTATTGGAGAAGCGAGTAAGTCTAATGAGTTGGAACCACTCAACTGACACAGCAGGGCTTTATAGCCGTTTTGATCATGATGCAAAATAGTGCTCAATAGGATCCCATGATCTCACCTGTTTTGACGTGGCTTACCAGATCTTTTTTCTATTCGGAGAGCCAGTCATTGTTCAAAGTTGAAATTAATTCTAAGCGTGTCAGCACGTTCTGATTGCTTGCGATCATGTGCATGTGTATGGAGAGGGGAGTGGGGGGGGGGGTGTCATATAATGCGGAAGACTAATCGTATAACCGAAATGCTTGGTAATCGGATCCACAAGCGGAACCATGAAAAAGCTATCCCACAGAAAATTACGCCCGAACACTATCATCCTCGGGACAGTTGAACTCTCAACTGAAAACTGCGATCGCTACTGAGGTGATCTAGGTTTGTAACTTTTAACGACTTCAGTTTATAAGCTTAATTAGATGTACGTTTTCAACTCAAAGTGTGTCCCATTAAATTTGTTTGTTTCTACTATCGATTAAATAATAACTGACGAAGTAACCATAGATGCCGTTGTTTTACGTGTATACCAACGATCAGTACAGTATAAGTTAAGCATATCTCTTTGCACATTTGCAGATCTAATGAAAAAGAGATCAATACAAGGGGGGATAGTTCAGAATCCATTGAAGGACGAGTATGAACACATTCTAAGACCAGTGTTGCCTATAGAACAACGAGCATAGGTGGTGATGAGCATTGATAATATGAACTTACTAATTCTGATTGTTCATTGCTTTTTTACTCCTGTGCTTGGTACGTAATTCGTCGCTGTTTTATGCAGTACTAATACTCCCAGAAGGAAGATACTGTTACTCGTTTGCCAGAAGTTAGTTGATAAACAAAGCCAGACTAACAAGGCTGTTCGTAAGAATGCGAATCTGCTTTTGCCTCACCCATTCTCTGTTTTTTCCCCTCGAAGGAGAAGGAAGAACATGACTCCATTCGGAATGAGTTGCAAAAACTGTCCCAGTCTATTGCCTGATTGTAAGTTGTTCTGCTGTTTCAGGAGTGTTAGGAGTTATACTGACTAAATTGAATGTGTTCGAAGTGCAGTGCAATCATTCGAATGAGGTTATGTTGAATGCTGTGAAAAATAACATGCGAATTGTTATCGGATGACAAAATGCAAGTCTGGTAAACTGATCGCGGTATGTGCAGCGAATCTTGACGTAAAAATTTGGAAGGTAAATTCAAACCGAAATTCTGAGAAGTGAGACGCGAATGTTTCGAACCTTCGGCGGTAGATACCTTGACCATGGTCCGGTTCAATACCATACCTAAGCTGGTGGGGCCTTGCATGATTTGCCAGTCCAAATCGCGGGCTAATGTTGCCGGGTTCTATCACTGAGCAGGAGGTTTTCACGAGTGTGAAGTATAACCGGTCTGCTATTCATCACACAAGGATATGCAATAAAAAAGTATCTACTTATGGCAGCAGAAACTCATCGACCCAATTCAGGATAGAAGCCAGATGGCACTGACACGTCAGAAAATCTATCAATAACTGATTTGACTGTTTTACTTTACACAAATGAACGATTAGTTATTGCAACCTGTCAACCTTGTTTATGTTAGCACTACCTTCCAATGGCTGTGAAGTAATAGGAAGTGTAAATGTTTACATATATATCTATGCATTAGGTATAGATTATTACATTATCAGTTGGTTTAATTTTTCCTTTGAACTGATAACAATAAAACCTCTCGTGGACTTACATCTATTCTTCCCTTTGTTTCAGAAATCCCGGAATCCAAAAACGTTTGCCAACTGCATTTTTACGAAGTCACCACAGCCACTAGGATAAATTATTCCTGCCAGTGGATCTATTTCTGTTTATCTTTTACAAAATGAACTCGAAAATCACAATTTGGTGATATTTTCACTTCTAAATCAATCGTTAGTTTTAATTCAACATGTAGTTAAGGCTCATATTGAGGGGAGATTAGAAGTTTTGTTATTGCTCTTTGTTTTCGCGCAGTGATCTAATGGGATAAGTGCACTAGGCATATAATGTGCTAATAATGAACCATCCCATCCAGTTGAATAAAAAACGGCTAGGAGAATAATAATTAGGAATTGATTAGATGAACTTGATATTATACGTGCCGAAAAATAGAACGTTGTAGTTCTAAAGATTATGGTGCTCTGAGTTGTTTAATGCTAGGGAAGAAACTAGGAACCTGCTTGAACTACTGGACATGTGAATATTTCCATTCAACGATGCTTATATCCGGAAGAAACAGCACGTTAATTGTAAACATAACTCGCACAAGAGTCAGCATGAAGACTACGAAATTCAGTGGTGTGTCCGTGGAAGGAGATGCAACGTGGCTGACGATGCCTTTGGAGTGATGGAAGAAACTGAATTCTGGTTGACTAAACCAAAAAAGATAACCTTTGGAACAAAAAAAGAAACAAGAAAATACACGGAATAAATTCCAGATTGTTTGATAGCGATTTGTGGCAACGAATGCACACAGAAGGAAAAAAGTATCATTTTGCCAATAGTGTTCAGAGCAAAATATGATCAGTTCATATTGCCTTCGAAGGAGACACAGCGTACTTACAGCATCCCCCCTAAAATTGGGTTAAATGTCACTGTGGGAAGGTTCAGTGGAACAGGACGAGCGCGAAACTGTCATCATATTTTCAAAACAGCGATAAATCAGGTTTAAAGACTGATTGAAGGGAAACGGTGTGATTGAGTCCCCATCTAATCAGCGCAGGAGATCAGACTGATTTGAGAAAGATTGACATAGTACAACATAATTTGCATATTTCATGAGTTTAGCGGATTGAGGAATAGATGAATCTCTCATATATGTAGCAAACACTGGGGAAAGTACAGTGCACTGAATATGTGATAAATAATAATGAACGAGATAAGTTCCTACCCAAATTAGTACTTCAAATTATATCCATAAAACAGTCTTTTATTCCTGAACGAAAAGAAATTCGGGTAACCAAAACGTTTATTTATCAAGGAAAGATGGTGGAGCAGCAAACTCAAACGTAATAATCAACGGTTTCAAAACACGGATTTCACAGAGCGACCTAGAAACTTGATGATGTTGCGGACCGCAGAAGTCACCGTTTCTATAATGGTCGTGTTCTCTTCATACAAACCGGAGGGAATTACGAAAAACAGTAAAATAACAACGTGAATGGCTTTGAAAAGCAAGTTCGGCAATTTTGAGTCCTGAAAAACCGATCGCAATAAGACAACACCATTTAAATAACATTGGAGGTAGATGGTTAGGCGAATCGGGACAACAGTGAATCATCCCCACGTATTGAGGATGGAACATATAGAGGGTTAATTATTGTGGATCAGCAGCATATTCGTGGAGGGGACTATCTAACCCAACCGTTGACTTCGGTTCGGTGGTTCAGAGGAGCTTGGAAACTTCAGATGAGAAAGGTTTATTCCTGGAGTAATCTGTCTGGATGAAGATGGAAAGCGTGTGGGAGTATGAGTGAACAAATGATGATTTCAGTTCATTGATATACTTAGCTTTTCTGTCGTCCATAGATGAGACTAATACCTTGTCACGGTATTATTTTATTCTTGCATTCGAATAGTTGTCTGGGTCGTTTCATTTTACATATGATCCTGAAAGATAGTTATCACATGGTAGATGAATCGTGTCCTTCATAAGCAACTTGCTTCTGTTTTCTCAAAGATTCATAGAGAGGAAGATTTTACCCCTAGGGCAGAACAAGTTGAAGCTGATGTTCACTGTATCAGTTGGAATGTTCACGGTTGTTAGGGACGTGAAAATAACTGCACGTTTATATTCAAAACGGTTTGGGAAGAGCAATACCGTTCAATGAAAGATCCCGGTAGGTAACTGAAGTCTACTGCAACTGACTAAATTATCGAAACACCGATAGGAGTAAGTTTTTGCTGAGAAGTACGGTGATGGTTGCGTGTGGGGTACGGAGTCTAATGTAGGAATGCGAGTAGAAACACCAAAAGCTCAGTCACTACAGGGACCATGGATAGAATGATGTCACCGCGCGTCCCTCAATTTTACTGCGATACATTTTTGTGATGGTTGCCACATTGGGTTTCATCATAATTGGTTGATCACTATCTCGATGCAGAGCACGTTCCGGATCTAAACCCATTCGTGTTAGAACGTGTTTCGACTGAAAACTGAATTCTGTGCTTCCCATAAATCACGTGCTTGGTGAGCTTTATTACTGTACCTGGATCAAAAAATGCAGGCGGCCCTGTTGGCTGATTACACTTAGTTGCACCCGTGCTACCAAGACCGCTGTACCATCATTGGCCAGCACTCCTACACACTCGTATTTAGCGACTATTTCAGATTTAAATTGTATTGTGAACGCATGTATTGACTCCGATACTTGTGTCCTATGCATAGTAGAAACCCAGTTGACTTAAAAAGTTGAGGACGAGCAAATCTGAATAAGTTGCTTTGATTGATATCCGCATAATTGGCAACCAACTAGGGAGAAGACTAACAGTGGCCTGGTAACGTAAATCAATGTCTTCTGATGCGGCAAATAAAAGTGATACTTCAAGTTGTAACTTTTTAACTTCTTAAGACGACCAGTGTACTTCTGTAAATGAAATTTTAGAATGTAAGCTTACACAAATTATACGGTAACAGATCAAAAAGTTCTAAAACGATTTCATTTCAGACGACACAGTAATCTTTGATCACAAGCTAATAAAATCAGTGGCATTAGTGCAGCCATGTTCTATTCCATACGTGTAAAGACCACGCCTCATTTTAGTAATAAGATTATGTGCATCGCATCATCAGTCTGCCCCTTTCATTCTCCCAAGTTCGCATAATCCATCAGTGTCTTGAGGTACACTGGGGTGCATCTATTCAAAAATAATACATCTCGCTTGTTTTTAGCGCTATTGTAGACGCGGTAGTGTGGTTAAAGCTGTGTTCCATGTGGAACTCGGTTTAAAACCGGGAATGTGCTTAGCCGACCAGCTCTATCTGTTTTTGTGTTGACTGCGTTCACTGACGGTGAATGTATTGATTCCACGTGCAAATGAAATCTTACAAACGTGATAAAAACAGTTGGGGAAATAACGCGAGCTCCAAGCCAATTGCCTGATATGAGTAATAACACTACTTTTATCCGGAATAGATGCACATTTATTTGAGGTTTCGCTGGCTAAACTTGTTCCTATTTAGGGTGGCGGTGGCACCGTGATTTAGTCGCTGTCACCGGCGTTCTTTGGACCCAGTGGTTGGAGGTTCGAACCCCACAACCGCCACCCAACTTTGGTGGTAAGCAGCTCTGCTGTCGCCCGGTTCTATACCACGCCTAACCTATCGGGGCCTTATGTGGTTCACCACTCCAAGTTCCGGGGCTTATGTTGCCGGTTACTATCACTGAACAGCAGGTCTTTGTGACTATGGGGTCCGCCTCGTCTGCTGTTCATCATACATTGTTGTGTAAGAAAAAAATCTAGCTTTAACCAAAACCCGC